AATTATAAAAACTAAAAGAATTTTAACATACAGTTATTAATTCATTTTTAATATAATACTGAAATAATTATTATAGAAATTATAAAGAAATTATCATATAACAATACTAAAATTTTAACGAGTATAATATATAAGATAAATATTTATTTAGATAAATAAAATTATAACTAGTAAAAATATTCTTATCTTATATATGAGAACTATATTATAATTAAAATTTATAATAAATAAATATTTTAAAGTATATAACTTATAATTTAATTTTTAATAAACAAATGAGATAAAAGTATATATAGTGTAAAAGTTTTTTTTTTTTTCATTCAATATATTTGTTAAAATCGATAATAATACACCTAAAAAGATAAAATCTTCACTCTCATAATTAATGTGACAGTCAAAGTATATTTTACAATTTAAGTTAGATTGAGATCGGACAAATGTTAAGCATCCGAATTTATTCATCATACTTTAAGTAAAAAACATTGCGTATCTATTAAAATTAAAAATTTATATTATCTTCGTAATACAATATACTACTTTTTTAATTAAAAAAATTACACTTAATTACTTCATAGAACTCACTTCCTTATAAGATAGTTGCAATTTTCAATTAAAAAGGTGCTATGACAATTAACACTAAACTCGAGAAAAGTAAATGTAATCCCCTAAAAATACTTGCATTTTTTTTTTCTTTATGTTTTGGTTATCTTAAAATAATGAAAATATTATTGTTATTTCCAACAATTAGGTGGGGTAGTATTTTAGACTATGATCAAACCTCAGTAAAGTGATAGATTTTTTTTTTTTTAAGACTGTTATGAGGGTTGGGCTTACAATTTGATCGTTCCCATGTAAGGGTACAGGATGCAGTGTTTTCAGGCTAATTATGAAATTCAAAATAACCTCTGCCGTTCCATACCGATTAAGAGTAAACAATTCAATTGATGCTAAATTTATAAGAGTTTGTTATATTAGTTTTTAAAATTTAAAAATTATAAATAAATTTTTAAAAGTACAAAATTATAATTATAGTTACATTATTTCAAAATTTTAAAAACCAAAATAATACTAAGTAGTTAATTTCAATGACTTATTTAACATTCTATAAACTTATTGGTAATTTTTAATTTTAAAAATTAATACGATGACGCCTTCCAATTTGATGGATCAAAATGGTATTTAACACCCTAGGACGGGTATATATGCCTTATATCAATAACAATTAACCACAGTTTTTGTTCCCATCCACATTAATTAATTTTTTGTAAGAAATGGCTGAAGGGAGTTTGTAAGATATTAACAGTTTGAAAAGAAGAAGAAAAAAGGTTAAAACAATAATAAATATGAATCCAAGATAATATAACAAAATGGATTTACTCTAATATAAGCTAGTACCATTCAATTCAAAACTTAATATTAGATTCGTATTTTAGAACATTGTTGAATTAAAAATATTTTATCATAATTCGTAAAATTTTACATTAGTAAACAATTATTTAATACTTTTTATAGTACATATAAATTAACATTATATAAATGTTTGTAATTGATAAAAATAATTGATATATCCTAACTGTTATACAAATTTTACAACATCTATCACAAGCAATCCGAGTAATGAATATTTCCAATTGAATGAATAAATCCAAAAATCACAATGTTAAAATTTACGTAACTGTATAATCTCTAAATACTATCAAATTTAATAAAATTTCAATTTTTTAGCATTATTTGTGCAATTATGTATAAAACACATTTTTATGTTTACATTAAAAAAAACAAATTAACAGTCACCCGGCTATATACCATCAGGCTATAGCGTTTTGGTACTGGGCTGACCAAAAAAAAAAACAACACTGAAAAACACCATGGTAAAATTTATATAAATATTATATTACTATTAAGTGAATGCATAACTTTTTAATTATAATAATACTCAAATAAATTTATAAAAATGAAATATTTTCTTTTAATGTGATAAAAAAAGTATAACTCATCCTCACCAAGTCAAATCTAATAAAATTAAAATGATATCTCAAATCGTCAGGCCAGATATTCAATAAGGCAATTAAGGTTAATGCTTAGAACCCCCAAACTTATAAGGTTTCCAAATTCTTTTAATAGTAGTATTATTTATATAACATATTTTTTAAAAACTAATAATATTTGAGATAAGACCCAATATTTTATAAGACACATATCTTATATTTTTTATATTATTATAATTACTTAAAAGATCACAACCTATTTATTAGTTTTTGTAAATGAAAAGTCACTACTACTTACTTTTATCTTTTACAGATGACAGATTTTCAACTTCTTTATTTCCTCTCTAGTCTATCTCTTTCTCATTCTCTCTTGTCGGGAATATGTCTAAATATCTTTAGGAGAATAAATTAGTTTTTGATAAGAATATTTTATTTATATTTTAAATATTTAGATTTAATCTGTTTTGATTATTTTAGGATTTGTTTCCTGGTTTTTAGAATAAGATAATATCAATATTTGATTTTGTGTAACAAATCTTCTCTATAAATAGAGACCTCATGAATAAAATTATATTATGCTCCTCTGATAAAAATAATTCTTATAAAACATCCCCTTAGACAAATACCATAAAATAATCTCATCATCTCTCCATTCTCATTCTCAATTCCTTCTTCTAGTGTAATTTAAGGGCTTGATTGGAAGCAATACGGTCCTACTCTGTCTTTTTTCTTGGTTGATTCCTATTTTGTAAGATCCTTTAAACTACTAAGTTAGTGTAATTCTGGGTGCTGGTTCAATAACATCAACACATTTTCTTAGTTATCACCATTGACAATCCATTGTACTGCACTTCTTGCATGATATTGCATTGACAAACCCTTCTATAAAGGAGAATTTTGAAGATCCTAAGATAAAGAGTGAAGTCATGTATTTAGCGACTTATGAGATGGAGAATTTTGAATTTTTATTGGGAATGAATATTTGGTATGATATACTTTTTGCGGTTAATTCTGTAAGTAAGATTATGCAATCTAAAGATATGTATATAGACGTTGTTATAGATCACTTAAGAGGCCTTATAACTTATTTAAAAATTATAGGAAAAATGGTTTTGCATTTGTATTAGAATCCACCAAAGAAATGGCTATTGAAATGGATATAGAGCCTAAGTTCAATGAAAAACGTAAGATTCATAGGAAAAAATATTTTGATGACATTGATAATGATGAAATATCTCATTCTGCTGAAGATTCTTTTCGCATTGATTATTTTTTGTATATATTAGATCAATTTATTTCTTCTATTGAAAGTCGATTTGAACAATTTTTAGAATATGAAAATATGTTTGGTTTTTTATTTGATTCAAATAAATTTAAAACTTTAGGGGAGATGAATTGAAAATTTTTTGTAGCAATCTTGAAAAGATTTTGAGTTTTGAGGACCATTATGATATTCATGGTCTTCATTTGTTTTCAGAATTAAAGTTATTGATATAAATTCTAACAAATGAAATTAACACACCATTAAAAATATTGAACTATATAAAAAGATCATGTTCTTTTCTAAATACATACATTGCTTATAAAATATTATTAACATTACATGTAACTGTTGCGACTGCTGAAAGAAGTTTTTCAAAATTAAAATTGATTAAATCATATTTAAGATCAACTATACTACAAGATAGATTGAATGAATTAGCTATATTATCTATTGAGAGTGAGATGTTAGAATTACTTGATTATAAAATTTTAATAAATAAGTTTGCAACTTAAAAAGCCAGAAAAATAACATAAAAATTATTAGACTATATTAACATAGGCCATGTCTTAATTTTTGCCTAAGATCTCAAAATTCTTAAATACGGCTCTGCAAATCGTAACTAATATAATTTAGAGATCAAATTCCATTTGAAGAAATACAACTTTAACATATTTAGAAAAGTCAAATACATTTCTAAAAATTCAAAAAAAAAAGATTAAAACATATATTTTTCTTCATAAGAAAACATATCCTTGTAGTAAATGTTTAAGTGGAAATCACCTATTTACAACATATCTCTTGGAAATAAATAATTATATAGGAGAAAAAAAGTTTTATACTATAGTATGACCATGATTCACTACTATATGTTAGGAAAACCAACAAAAAAAATACATGTTCCAATGTAAGAAAAAGAATAACTTATGTGCAACTCTTTTATTTTTTATATCTCAGTTAAATTCATCTCAACCGAACTCCAAATTCACTCATATAATAATTTAAAACTATGCGTGGTAAAAATATTAATAGCAAAACACCAGAATTTTTCGATTCTCACCGTCGGAACACATAATATAATACAGTAGAATGGCAACTGCAGAAAATCTGGACCACAAATTATTTTCACAATTAAATTATAAAAGGTAAACTTAACCTTATATGCATCCGTTGGATGCAACTGCAGGAATGAACCGTAGGTGATCATGGTGAGATTTTTTAACACCCCAAATTCCAAAACTCCCTTGACCAGACAAATTATCACACGGACCTCTTCAGTTCAATGGAGAAAAATGGCAAACAACCATGCTATACGTGGAAGTGAAAAACAATCCTTTTCTAGATCAATCTTGGTACTACTCAGTATATTTCCAATCTTTTAAGCCACGGCACTAAAAGCCAAAAGCTTGTAACAGTTTTCAAATATGTGCCAGATATCAAGACACCAGAATTCAGGGGCTCAATGTAGATAAATTTTTCTAAAAGCATTTCGAAGAGAGCAAAATAAGAAGAAAAAATAATAAGTTGCTCTATAAACTAAAATTAACTTATACATAAACTATTTTGTAAAAATTTTCTTGTATTAACTTCTCCAAATTCTTATTTTTAACTCATCCATGAACTACTTTCAGCCTATCTTAATTTTTCTCTCTTATAAATGCTTCTGGATAAGTTTATTCAAACAAGGTCCTAAACTACGACAGCTCCCACAAGCGCACAACCAGTATAGCACATATTATTGAGAGAAAAAATACTACAATTAAATCTTTATTTGCGCAACAAAAAGCAAATGCTACGATATGACATTGTTCATACATAAATTATCAATATTTGTACAACACAGTAAATTGACTAAAACAATCCCCAAAATCTCCATGTTAGATTTGCTCAAATGCAATTTTGTACTTTGATCTCATCCTGTTAAAATATTATGTGCACCTCACGATCTGTAAGTAGGAGGGAGATACTAAATTTGCATGTGGTGAACATTGATTCATGAATTTTCTCACCCTAGAACGATATGGGTAAAAGGAACACTTGAGGCATTGTGATAAGCATAAAACCTAAATGCCTTGGGTGAACCAGCTCATCTCTTGCCACGAGGTCCAGGTCCAGATCTGGGACCAGGAAACCGAGAAAACTGAAGTCGTAAGTGGCTAGACTCGGGATTGAGTTCATCAACTTTGTAACCTGTGCCATCCAATCACAATGTTAGCAAACACACGAAATTTTGGGTACATAATTATGTGAAAATTCTATATACTGAATGACAAAATCCTAAGTAACACGGCCATTAGCCTACAGACATAAATTAGATCAAACTTTATTGTTTTTTTACCTTTGACCTCTCCATTCAAATGTTGACATACGAATGTTCTATCCAATAATAACTAACTTCCATCAAATGTGTTCAAGAATTAAAAATAAAAAAATAAAAAAATCTAAGTGTCATCACTCATCATTAATTAATTGGAGAAGTTGGTGACAAGGATATAATAAACTTAATCTAAATTTAGTCCTTAGCTTGCTAACTGCAGGTACAGCTGACTGTTATAATGACAGAATTTTGGGCTTAGGTAACATCAAAAAATATGCATGGTATTGGTGAGAATGATGGTGATAACTTACAATACCATACCTTTAAGAAGCAGGAGTATATTCCTAGTAATGATCATTAGTAAAGCAAAGAAAGACACCCTAGAGAGCAGGATGACGATGTTTCAAAAGGAACAGATATATTCGTGTGATAATTTTATGTACAAATGAAAGAAAGAGGATAACAAAAGGAAACATAGAAGTTGCCATGTTGGCACCGCACTTGGCACTCCTTTCTCATGTGTTCTATGAAGTACCAGTTTGAATAAACCTTGACATCACATATAATTTATTAATTTACATTAAATCCTTTTAGTTCAATAGAATATTGAGAATTTTATGAGTTAGATAAGCATCATGCTTCTACACTTGTAAATGTGGAATTTTACTGATAAATTTCCACATCAGTGCAGCTTAAAATGAACACCCAAAAGAAAACCTGAATCAAAATTATAGCAAAGCATCCAAAATTCAGGACAACTTAATAACCATATATTGGTTCAAAAGGCCAAAAATCTAAGGGCAGTCTTTCAACTACACAACCTCCATCAAGTCGCCTTATGCTGAGATGATTCCCTATTATATAACTTAAACAACCAAAACACGAAATTAATTTACTTTTATAGTCAGCAGGTAACACAAGTGATACCTTGCAATGCACTCAGAGCTGTTGCTGCACAAGCCGGATTTGCAAAATCCACAAAACAAAGGATTAGAGGATCACCCCCACGCTGCAATAAGCAAGCATTTCATCATAAAAAACATAATGGAACTTTCGACCAATAAGCAGAATAGCAATAACCTAAGTTAAAGCAGACATCCAAACAAGGATGAAAAACAGTACACTTACATGTTTGGATTCTTTGCTCACGAGTCTTACTTCTCTATATCCAACAAAAGGGCGAAAAATATCTATAGATAACATTAAGGAATTTGAATAACTAAATTAAAATAAATGCTCATAACCCACAGTTGAAAGTATGATGATACAATTCCTAAACATTATCCGAGAACAAAAAGGATACGAGCCACTTCCCTTCTAGTGCTGTCAGATGGGAGACCTTCAACATATAAAGTACTTGAAGCATCTGGGGGTAGAGGTACAGTCTCAGGTCCAGGCCTGGAAGCTGCATCAACTGGTAACTGACCACCATAATTGACGTTCCGTCCATTTCGTGCAAGGTCAGGACCACCACCAGGATGCCCCATGACAGCAGGATCAGTTAGTGAATGGCTTGGCAACCCACCAACACCTCTTGCCAATCCAACACCACCAATTGCACTGCCTTCCCCAGAATTAAACGAAGTAAGCTGCTGCTGCTGCTTCATAACCAAAAAAAAGGAAAATTGCAGCAAATAAGCTGTGAAAGCACATCTAATCATACATATTATGCAAATAAAACAAGATGTTACCCCTGTGCTCTGAAGGTAGCGGTCATAAGCAGATCCAAGTGTCTTAGTGTCCTTCAGCATTCGATGACCAATATGGTCTTCATCTCGGGCAATATAATTATGCATCTCATTTCCCACTGAAGTCATACCAGAAAGTGACATGTCTGCAATGTAACAGAATCTAGTTTAGAAACTTTTCTAGCAAAAAAATACAAAGCTGAAAATGCCTACATTCTATCAAAAGAAGTTTTGTTCAAATGCAATACCATATATTATTGCTATGCTAGAATGCCAATCGCTGACTAAATATATAATACATCTAAAAAATATGGCAGATGCTAGCAAAACTCAGATAACTAAACAGCACATGCTCCAGAATGCAAAGTGCTCATAACAATACAAAGAGCAGGGTGCAGAAGCACACGTTTTGACACCTTATCAAATTATCAGTACACACCATTTAGCATAAAATGTCAACTATTGTTACTTGACTGAAATTAGAGTAGCCACACAAATTCTTGGGTCCGCTTCCACTCCATGGCTTCACAACTGAATCCTTTTCAATCTTCGAATCCACCACTATCTCTCAGTGGATCTTCCACCCCAACCCACTCTTCTGCTCCTGTCTCAATGTCACATCCAATTTCAATTTTCAATGCGACTTGATACAAAATTAATTCCTACTTTGGAAGCAGTAGGTGGAGGCAGTAATTAGGACTAGCTATGAACTCAATAATCCCACTGCAATTCTATTGAGGATGATCATGCATTTTGGTATGAAAGCAATATCTGCTGGCAGTGGGAGCATCAGGATCATTATAAAGGTTTGACTCAAAAAAAATTTATTCTTTTGAAACAGACTTAAGTTGTGCAAGGCAGAAAACAGAGATAAATATTAGCAAAGACACGGACACAAGATCAGAACAGAGAAGAGAAACTAAATCAAAGAATGCTCAAACAAGGCACCAACATAGCAAAATGTGAAGATGGATTATAAATTCAGAACAGAGAACATAATCACAAGGGGAAAATGATTTTGACAACTATCATTCCAGTTCCTCCCCTGTATAAAATACAAAATAGCAAAAGTATTTCGAGAGACATTGGCAGCTTGCAATAATCAGCAACAGCATACCAAACCATATAAAGTAATTTAATCAAATATTGTTTAAGGATGATTTAGAGTTGAACTTGAATTTTCCCAATGCTGTCACTCGGTCACAGTTGCACCTCCCAGAAAATCACAGCTCAAAAATGCGCAAAACGATCTTTCTCTCTTTAGCACAAATTAAACCCGGTAAAATTTCAATCACTAAAACCCGAAATAATAAAAATACTTTCCCCAGGGTATACCTCAAAAAGCCCAGAAACGCATCTATATTCTGCGTCTGTCCAACTAGTTAACAAAGAACAAAGATTATATACTACACTCAAACTCCATAATACCATACGTTGAATTGTTATAACATAAAAAAATCCAACTTTGAAAAGTCCAAGAATTAGAGGCCAACTATCAATCTGACAAACCCTATATAAATGAAACCCACAATCTAATAAATCATAAAGACCTAGTCCAGACACTAACATTGAAATTCAAAATACTAATTGGCTTAGGGTATGTTCGGAAGGTCGAAAATGTAAAATAGAGGCATTTCTTGTGAAGATAAAGAGAAAAGAGAGCGAACCGTATTCAGTGCGAGGACGTTTGAGCATGGCGGAAGAAGGGTGCATTGGCTGCTTCTGCCGATTCCAGAAGCCGTCCGTCATAGCGAGAAAGAGAAGACGAAGGTGGTGGATCTGACGGTGAAGAAGGAGATCCAATTACAAACCCTAATTCGCAAAACACCAAACCCTAAGTCTCGACCTCTCTCTGTAAACAATAAAACGAAAGACAAAATGTTCATCCGCACTCTTCTCGTGTTTTTTTTAAGACTTCTTTTTTCTTTTTTTATTTTACAAGTTTTAAAGAGTTTACCAGGTCTGCTTATAAATATTTACACTTTAAGTGAACTAGTATTAAATTTTAAAATAAATTATATATACAATAATTATTATATTTAAATATATAAATTATATTTTCATTTAAGATAAATACTTTATGTTATAATATAAAATTATTGTTAATTATTAATATTTTATTTTTAAATATTAGTATTTTAATTTATAATTAAATATAATAAATACAAAATTGAATTAAATAAAAATAAAAATTATTTAAAATTATTTTTGTTAAAAAGTAATTTAAAATTATTTTTGTTAAAAAATAATTTTTGAAAAGACTCTCAAGCAAAATGATTATTTGCATTTAATATGTAAGAAGGAGTTAATTAATTAATCAAATATCATTTTAATATAATTATTGTAAAATTTACAAATCTCACTTTTCTTTTATAATTATGATATTGATATGAAATATTTATCGTTAAAAATAGAAAAACATCAGACATTTTTGATTAAAAAATACAAGTCACTATCACTTATATCAAATTATTGATTCACAAATCTAATATATAATAATATCACATTTTATTTGTGTAAGGTAATAAATATTTATTTATATTATTAAATTATGATGAAAATATGTTTTTAAACTTTGAGAATATGTTTTAAATTTGTGATAAATACATTACAATGTAATATATTATAACATAACATTATTTTAATATTAAAATTCAAATATAAAAATAATATATGAAAATGATAGAATTCTTAAAAATATTTTCATGTAAAATAATTATTCTAATTTGTTTATAAAAGAGAATTATATAATTGAATGAATACAGAATAAAAAATATTTATGTATTTTTTTTGTTTAATAAACATCCATACATATAATAGATATAAATATATAAAGAGTTATATAACTTAAAATTAAAGTATATTTATAAAAAAAATTAATTATATATGAACATTTATATAACTTTAGATTAAATAGATAAGAATTGTTCTTTATGAAAACAGTTGAGAATTTTAGCAAAACTTTATAGCTGAAAACAGTTATTCTTTCAAAAGAAATTTGAATTAGCAAGGAAATATAGTTGGATAAAAAATTTAGCAAAAATCCCACATTTACTTTATTACACCTTCCAGGTGTGAATCAATAGAGAGGCAGCAACGAAGAAACCAACTTAAACAAGCCAAATTAATTAATCAGAAGAGCAAGATTTGATCATTTAAATATCAAGAATCCATATATTCATAGTTATTGTCGCTATTAACATTTTATGGGTACAAGGAGAAATGATAAATGTGCAAGATTTTGTCATGCGTGAGAATCACTATTAGTGCAATTTCATGATCTCGGGGGGTGTGATACAAGACACATGCTCTTTGTCTTATTGACGTCTAGCATAAGATTGGTAATGTCATGTGAGTTAAAGAGAAAAACTCTAACTTAGTCACATTAGATATGAGTTGAGGGGTGTCAAACGTGATTATCCTAAGAATTCTTTGATTTTGTGACATTAGACCTACGTAGAGTGGCGTTAGGCGTGATTAAGTCAATGAATCTTTATTCATATGACATCGAGTGCATGTTTTATGGTATTGAGCACGAGTCAAACAAATGCTTTTTGTAAGGTCAGACGTAAGTCTAGTTATGCATGATTGACATAGGGGTTTTCTGCTTCATTCACATTGAGCGTAGGTAGATTGGAATCGAGCGTGAGCAAGTTAGAGACTTTCTACATTAATGACGCTAAGTGTTGGGAGAATGGTATCGGACTTGGGTTACTTAATGAAAACTTATGATTTAATTGAATAAGTGTTGAGCATGTGTAAAGTAGATTGAATTACTCACATGATTTATGTTGTTGTATGACTATAGTTCATCATGCATTAATTTATGATAATGTATAACGGTGTTTAGGTTGCTTAAGTTGTAAGTTGATTATGAATGAAAGTTGAATTATAGTAGAGTGGTTTGATGATAAGATGTGTAGTGTTGAATAGAATGATGTTGTAAATTTTGAATGCATGTAGTTGTGTTGTGTTGATTAACTCGAGACTAAAAGAGATGTGTTGTTTTAAAATGATGAATATCCCATTGTGAGATATGGTGTTGTGGTGCTTTGAAAGGCTAGTTGTTGAAAAACCTTTATTGGGTATATTTGTCTCTTGAAGTAGAATGTTGAGTTTTCACTAGGTCTTTAGTTGATACCATATGGTGTATAGTCGAGTCATACTAGTTTAAAAGTGACCAATTAAGTAAGGTATAAGATCAAGGTCAAGGCCAAAATCCTTAACTAAGTACTGAAAGGGTCATAATACTTGAATGGTAGTTGGTGGACTAATCCAACATAGACTTAGTTATACATGTTAAGGTTGTGGTAAACTCACACCAAAACTATTTTATCCTTGACAAAACACTAGACTTTCCTAGTTTAAGTGACGAAATATGAAAAGTCATCATCTTATATTGGATTTATATCAAAATTTGTTATTGATCTAACAAGTCCAAAAAAATCACATTGTTAAGTTGGTTCGGTAGGATCAAATTATGTAGATTGCTCATTTATGTTATAATATATCTCTTAATTGAAATGTGTGACAATACATCACGTTATTGTGTTAATATGTTGTTAAATTGATTGCATTGGAAGTTGATATTGTGGTTATATTATGATATACATGTTGTTATGTTGTGAAAATATTTAGTTGTTGAATTGATGTTGAATTGTGTTGGTAAACTATGATGTAAGTTGAGAAGCTACCTTATTGTAAATTTGTACACATGTGTTAATATGTTGATAGTTACTATTAAGTTGAGCTTAAGATGTTGTTAAATTGTATTGCTAAATTTGTTGCATGTTTAGTTTATGAGTTAATCATCTATATACTGTCAGTGTAAAGTTTTTTTACACTGACAACCAATTATATATTTTAATTGTGTCATGTCACTGTAAACACATTTACTTTTAACAGTGACATGACACAATTAAAAGATAAAATTGGTTACCATTGTAAAAAAAACTTCAAACTTGCAATGTATAGGTGATTAACTCTTAGTTTATTACTTCTACATTGTGTTGATTCTCTTAAATTCAAGTTTACCCTTGATTTTTTTTCTTATTGCTAGACTACGATTATTATACTTATTATAGGAGTAAGGTGGGAATAGATTGGAAGACGAGCAAGTTTATTTTAGAGTCATGTTGGAGATGATGATGTTGTTTGAACTACTATAGCGTAATTGTTTTTTTTATAGTTATTTGACTGACAATCTAGATTTATGCTTTTAGTCCAGATGACTATATAGTCTCACTGAGGGATTTATTTTCATGATTCCAACTGTTAAGATTTATACATATAAATAAATATTGTTGCATGTATATCCAGTGATTGTTTGCATGGTAAATCCTAGAAAATTAGATTTACATTTTCTGGTGTCTAGATTGTTGAGTTATAAAGTGTAGAGACACGCCGAATCCTTACATAATAGGACCCACCATTTTTAATTTCTCACTTCTTATTTCTTATCCACCAAACTTTTCAACTTATTTTCACTTCCTCCTTCTTATTTCTTATCTATTTCATACCAACCAATCAAGCACACACACATTTTAATTTTGTTTAAGAAGTTACTAAAAATTAGAATAAATTATGTTACTTAACAATTTTTTTTTGGACAATAATAATCAATAATTATCAATAAAAATAAAATTTTTACCAAATTAGTTATCAAGGCAATAATAATCAATAAGAATTGAAGACAATAAAGTATTATGTTTAGTCACAAAGAGATGAGAAAAAATATAAGAAAAATTATTGTGAAATATGATTTTTTTTATTAATATTATTTAGAGTTTAATATGTCAATATTTTATATAATGTAGTCTTATCAACAAATATTAATAATAATTTTTAATTTTCAAATCAAATAATTAAATTCATACAAAAGGAATGAAAATAAATTCATTTTATTACAAATATCATTATTTATAGTTTTTTAAATTGCTATAAAACTTATATAAAGAAAATAAACAATTAAAAAAATCAATTTATGTTAGTAAATAATTTGCTTAAAATAGATTTTTTTTTTTATCTAAGATCATAAAAAGAAAAACAGAATATTTATTAGTAACCCATCTCACTCTCAGCTTAAATTCCTTGTTAGTAATGGCAAACTTGCACGCAAACCACATCCACCACCACCTTGCAGCAGTGCTGCTACTGCTAGTCTGCTAGCATTTTTGCTTCTGAGATTTAACATCAACATCATCATCTGCTAGGCCCTAAAATTATCATTTGTAAAGTGATTTTTCAAACAGTCGCTGAGATACATGAACTTGATTTCTGGATATATAGTGATTTATTATTATTATTATTATTATTTATTACTTTCAAGACTTAGTTTTCTTAAAAAACACAAAAGGAGATTTATTTTTAGAAGAAATGTGAGTGAAAATAGCAATTGTCCCTGTGAAACTGTTATGCACAAACTAGCTTGTTGGGCTTCATATATAGTCCATTACGCAATGTTTCCCGGCTAATTATTAAATTCGAAAGTAATAGAAGCACAAAGCCTTTGCTTCTTCCATATGACTCATATAATTATCTAATAATAGAATAATTATATATATAAATAGAGTAATAATGAAGGTTAAGTCTAAGATGTCATATAATTATCTAAATCTTTTGTCAACTTATGGTATTTAAACTTTCCTTATTTGCTAAGTACACTCCATATTCCTTATTTGTTTTTTTAAGTCAACATATTTAAATAACCTTCCCTTTTCAAACACTTTCCTCTCCTTGTACATCCATTTTCACAACATACTTATATTTTAAAAAATATATAATATTTTTCTTTAAAATATTAAAGATTGTTTTTCTACTCTCATTAAAGAAGATTTTTGGATTTGTTATTATTTTTAATTATGTTTTTTTTATCTACAAAATTCAAACATAAAATTTTACTTAAAGATATTAAAACTAGT